TATATGTAGACGTTCTGTGAACAAAAAAGTTTTTAAAAAAATTAGGGGTTAAATGAAAAAGAATGTTTCAAAAAAATGCTAATAAATTACAAAATAGAAATCTGCGTGCCGTTAATTTTGAATAGTTTTCACATTTTTAATGTATTTACACAATTCATTGTGTTATTATTGTGATTTAATGAAGCTAAACATGAAGTAAATCGGTACTAATGTGTTTCCTAAATTTGTTTGCTTCAACTTTACACAAACAAAACGTTTTAAAGATAATAATTAATTTAATATTTATTTTGTTAAATTATTTAAATTTTGTGAGGTTTTATTTTAATAGAAAATATTTTAAATACCTAGGAAATATATTATAAGTAGGACCAGGATTTAAATGCATAAAAAATCATTTTAAAATGCTTTAAAAACAACCAAAAATACTCTTAAAAAATGACAAATAGGTATATTTTATTAAATGTATTTTTATTAGACATAAATTATTAGGTAATTTATAATTCTAATTTTTAAATAATAAAAAAAAAAAAAAAACGAAAATTGAAAATTTGACTTGTGACTGTTGAAGTTAGTATTGACCGAGGAGTCGTATTTCAATGATTAATTAGACACTTTCTTATTTATTCCACACAAACCAAAATATATACTTAAGATTATGTTAAATTCTACGTTAAGCTATTCTACCTTTAGAAATGTTGAGAATTGCATTGAAGAATAATCTACTGTCTAATATTTCCAAATACCAATGATCTTCTATTGCCCGAAAGTATATTTTTATGTCAAAAAATTCATTTCAACGTCTATGGATGTTATAGGAGTAAATTTGAAGTGACTAATATTGTCTGGTATCAATTCTTCTGATATGTTTGTTAGAGAAGTTTCCTTACCTTTTAAAATGTGTTAATTGTAGTATAACCACAGTTCTTTTCTAAGACATTTTTCAATTTTTATCTATATTGATTTTCAAATGTTACTTTTATTATTTTAAATACAAGTTATGGCATTATTTACGATAAAAATTACATCAAATAAAGATATTTTCATAGTTGAATTTTAAGAATATCAAATTTGATTACATTTCTGACATTAAATGTGACGCTTTTTTTATAACATAATTTTCTTAAAATTTATTAATGACGGTTTTGTTAAACTGAAAGTATTTATAGTAATATTTAATAATGTAACTTTTATCCAAGTTTCCCAACGAATCAGTATTGGTTTAAGTGGTAAAGGAATAGTTAGTCCCATTAATTTAAACATTAAAACTTAAAAAGGTGCTTTTAAAAAACTTTCTTTACATTTGAAATTTATAATATGTAAAAATTCTATGTATTACACTCGTATATTATACGCATTTACATTTCAACGAATAAAATTACTAAAAAATGCAAAATGAATGTCTCGCCTTTGAATTTCCTGTTACACGAAACAAATTATGTTTACTTGTAAAACATTGTCTAAAACAGTGGTGCCCAATCCATGGCCCACGGACCACATGTGGTTTGCGAACTTATTCAATGTGGCCAGTTATAATTTTTTTAAAATTAAATAAAATGATTATAAAATACCTTTTTTTTTAAATATATTTATTTTATTTTCAAGTATTATCAAATAGAAATCTCACGATATAACCCGTACACTTAAAAGAGCGTACTGATCAAATTAATGTGTACCTACAGCTTGTATCTTAATCCGTAATATTTTCAGTAATCAATAAAATATTTGAAAACAAATTAAATATGTACCTACCAATGTATACCCACTACGTATATCAAAATAATATTATTAGATTTATATTTATATTATTCGTACTTTTATATTTAGTGGCCTGTTCAAAGATAATTGTTTACCAAAGTGGCACACCGATGAATGAGTTGGACATCACTGGTTTAAAATCATCCAAGAACAGAAATTTTTTTTATTTATATCTGGGTCCTATAAGTAATATTTTTTTTCTCAAGTATACCCAATTTATTCATTGTAAATATAAATGTTTTGTATATGACATTATTGGTGTTATATTGTTGTTTATTCCTACATTTTCAAAACATGTTTACATTTTCGTTAAACAAACGTCATGTCCATGAAAACGTCACGAGCCGCATCGAGCGGTGACACTATAGTAATATATATAATACTTTCAGTCACATTTCATATGTGTTATTGTTCGTAAATTTTGTTTTATTGTATATGAAGCATGTATGTATCGAAACCAACTGATGTCTCTTAACGCATTTAAATTTGAATAGGTATATTTTTTACGTACCATTATAGTACGTAATATTATTGATTACAGAATAATATACATAAATGCCTTCATATTGCTAATATTAGTGACGCTTATGTGAGTGCAATCACTAAACGTGGCTGAAATCGTTTGCGCGTTTGATGAAAACAGGTTTTAAACGCACTTGAAGTAATACCTCACGGTGTTCTCAAGTGTCGGGTCTATTTAGCTGATTTGAACAATAAAAATAAAAAAAAGATGTTCAGCGCAACAAAACATGATTAATACAGACAGGTAGTGTTTCTATTGTCGATAATCTATATTTTTATCTAGTTGAATGCGCAAACGATTGCAGCGACGTTCAGCGGCTTCGTCCACGGTGTAGGCGTTACTAGTTTTGACAATTGGATGAAGGCGTTTTCGTATACTTTGTAAATCAATGATAATATTATACCGCGGGTATCATGATTATAAATAGAGCATAAATTATGTGAATATTATTATTATGTTGTCGACTGCCGGAGTGCAAGTAGCATACGTGTAAAAACATAAATATTATATAATTCATATAATGTATACCTATATCCGTGTTGCGGACACATAATAATAATAATATGTTTGCATACAGGTAAAATATTGGTGCACAAGTACAAAACGCGTTATTATAAATTATATATTATACGAGTATGTGAAGAATACAATTCGAACAGTGTTTTCTATATAACGTTTAAATCCATGTCGGTGTAACACAATTTATCCGCACGGTTTTTTTTCTCACATAATAAAACAATTACCTAATGCTAATTTTTTATGGTAAAAAAAACTTAACTGTAATTTCTTAGTTTCATCCGGTCAAAAATACATAAAAAATATGTATGCAACGAACATCAAACGATTTATGTACAAAAAAAATAATATATATATATATATATATATAATATGTATATTTATGTCATATATTCTTTGTGATCGATTATATCTACACGTTAATATTAATATAATATATCAATAACTATAACAATAAAATTACTCTTTTAAAACTCTATATTAAACGTTTAACATTTTTTATTATAACCACGTATAAATGTGTACACAATACAGACTGGCTTATTTAATATTAAAAATCACAAACGCCTAACGAATATAACAATATAACGTAAGTTATCATCGTTGCCGTTAACTACACATGTAGCATAAAAAAATATTATAACATGAATATGTATACAGATTCGACGAGTACACAGCAATCAACAATGTGGGGTATGTTTAACAAGACTAGCTCTGTAAACTGCTCGTAATGGATTTATTTCCTTTACACTTGAGATTTTTAATATATATATATATATATTATTTTTATTTGATTACAACTATTGTAGTCTCGCTAATAACATTATATTCAAGTGGATTCACACTTCATCCGGGGGCGATATTATAATTAATCTGTTATTTGTACGCGCCAACAAAAGAAGGAAAAAAAAATCGACGAAAAAATGTTTTTTTCCTCGAGTGGCGCGTGCACTGCTATTTCACGACGGATCCGAATAACGTGTTAGGCGCATCCCCTGCGTGCGTCGGAGGTTCGTCAACGGTAACGTCCTCCTACGCACAATATGATCTGGTCGGTCCCGCAAACGGCTTGACCGAATCAAGTAATGTGTACAGATCTCTGCACGACTTGATCAAATGAATTTTATTTTCACTAGTGCAGTAGTGTTCAGCGGCTGCATGACGATTCGCTTTCGTTTAACTGCAGTTTCGTAACCATAAAGACGAATTACAATAAACAACGTTAAAAAGCCAACTGATATGCAAAATCTGCCTGACGGTGTTACACACCATACGATTTGATCGAGTGGTTGGACGGAACGGCCGTTAGCAAGACCCGACAGAATCGTAGTCAGATGACACGTCCATACACGATCTGATATGACACCCGACCAGACCAAATTGTCCTGTCGGCCCGACTAGATTATATTGCGTGTAGGGGCTTTAACGACCGGACGCACTTGTTGCACGTCCCGACCCGACAGAGGCGCGTGGGTCCAAATGGATTTACAGTGAGATCCCTACGACGGATTTGTGTGGTGTTCGTTATTTGTTGTTTACACGGTGTTCCGGGGGAACCTGCACGGTCGGGTCAATTGAAACCCGGTGGTGCGCAGTGCACGTTGCTCAGCGCACCGCGGAGTGTTCAGTAGCGTGCATAGGGGGGGATGATGGGGGATATATCCCCCATGGATTTTTTTTTAGTCCTAAACATTAAAGAAATACGACGCGGCAGTCACAGTTTAATGGATTGGCGTTAATGAACACATATCGAGACATTCCATTATCTACAGAACAAATAATTGATGAATTTAATGTAAAAGCCAGATGGATGAATTTCCGCCTTAATTGAATTTTTTTTGTATAAAGAATAAAGATTGAAAAAAATACATTTCTGTGTATGACATCTCCCCATATCAAATTCCTGCACCCGCCACGGGCTATGTTAGCCCCCCCCCTCACCCGGGGGGCCGTGGAGATCCGCCCGATGATCGCGTACGAGGGTGTATTCTTTGAACTTCGCCCGACTGTATCGGGAATGGAACCGTACGCGATGTCCGATTCGTCCGATCGACCGTTTCGCTGTCTTGCTGACGACGACGCGTTCGATGAACACAGTTTTTAAATCGGATCTCACAATGTTGACTTCCAGTTTTTCACACAGTCTCTGTGTAATTTATTAAATCAAAAAATATTTTATTTTGCATAGAATCCGAGAAATTTATTGTTTTTTAATTTTTTTTTTTTTTTTTGGGTAGGCGGGAGTTAAAAATGTAACAAACTTAATTCTTTTGAATCTAGAACGAATTTTATTGGGATTATAATTGTTATTTGATTCAAGCCGGCGTCCTAACCTGAAAGTTATTTTATTCGATAACAATACGAGTATAGTTAACATTTCCATTGTATTTTATTTTGATGTTATTTGAATATTTAGTAATAAACATCTACCCTTTTGGATTTAATAATATTACTGTGCGAGGTTCGACGCGTTACTAAAAGTTTAAGTTATGTTTAGCGTGTGATGAGTTAAGTACGGTCACGACGAGATGTAAACAGTTTGTGCATGACGTTTCTTTTTATATGCCAAAGCAGACTCCCAATCTGAGATCGTATACTAATAGTGGAGGTCATTTTTAACAAAAAAGAAGCTAATAGTATATCATATAATAGTATAATATATAGTATATAATAGTCAATCATAATAGGACTAATAACTCGGAGGATTGAACAACGACGACACTCTCGTTCGGCGACCGGAGAAGAGGTAACGGTTGTCAAAAGTCCTCAAACCCTATTTCTATCCGCCATCTAATCGCCGAGGTCATACACGGAACGTGAGTGACTTTTCGCTTTATCTCTTAGTAGGGCATTATAGTATTAATATTATGAACTCGTATAATCCGATTTTGGGCCCTAAAGGCAGGCGTTAATCATGTGGGTGATATTAAACGATACGCATGGTAATAAAATCGAAACGGAGTGGTAGCGACGTAAAAATCGATACTCGAAATGCTTTTAAACGGTAATTTATTTATTTATGTTTTTGCAAAAGTACTCCTCGACGATATATTTTACATGTGACGTGTATTTGAACAGACGATTGGATACGAACAGAGTCAAAAGAAATTATTGTTATTGTACAGTCAGAAGCTTTTGGAATAGGAAATAAACGAAAGTAAATTGTTACTGATGGGTTGAAAGTACGATATTGTAATGAACTGATGAATAACGATCAACAAATTTAAAACAAATATCTACAAGGAATGATTAGATTTCGTAAAATAGCAATCGATTAACGTTAAGATGTAATTTTTGCGAGTTTAGCATCAGGGTTCTTGACATGACAGCGGTATCCTACGAAAACGTTTCAAGATGTTTTGCCCATAATGATTTAACGGCCGATCATCGGAGTTGTTTCAGATCTACTTGACGAGGTTAGTCCGACCAATAACGTGCTCGAGAGGGGGACTGAGTGTGTTTTAATGTGGGATTCCATCAACTTATTATTTTCTTTTTGTATAAGTTTTCTGAACAGACTTTTGAAAAAATTGAACGGTTTGATACGTTATCGAGTTGTACCTAGAGATGTGTAATATCTCCCAGAGAAGTGCTTAAATGGAGCGATAATAATCTCAATATTACTAGTTTTTTTGTTGAATTTGAAAAAACATTGCGTATTTCATTGAAAAAAAAAAAAATCAATATTTAAATGGTTTGATTGATCAACAAATTCACTAATAAAAGGTCAGTATTCAGTGGTACATGTATGCGAGTGTCGTTGTGGGTGATAGTTATTTATAAGTAGGAAATAAAAGTTGAATGGAATACATATTGCGATACGATTGATATCTCCGTTACCGATTCGACAATTTAGCGCCCGAGTACACCACTGATGGGCGAATCGATAATCGCAACCAGCACCGATTTTTCTGCTTACTATGTATATTGTTGTCTAGTCACCTATCGTGTTTTGGCTCTCGTTGTACTTGCACTCGCTCTTTAGGTCGCACAAGTTTGCTGCGGTTGCTTTAATAATTTTCTAATCTCGTCTGGCTGTAAAGTTTTCCGGAAGTGTATTATTCACCCATGGATTACGCTCCTCCTCGGTTATATCCGTTATCCCACGGGCTTTATGTAGTTTGGTTTATCCCAGATCCATCGTCGGACCGGTCGCCTCGAATAAGTAATCGCCGGTGACTGAACTAAATACAGTCTAACTATATATATCTGATAAATCTGACTACGGGTGGACCAGTTATGATTTTTTAGTCCGGTAGATGGGAACCAAGACACCGTAAGTAAGCTTTTTTTCAACAAAAAATTGGAATTTTACACAAAATAAAAAGTTCTAATATATGTAGTTAATGTAGCCCACACGAAAGCGCTTAATTTGAATGATGTATTATTGTTTACACTCTTATCGTTCGCCGTTACGAGTTGTCCGCACCGATGCAATAATTTATGTCGTGAAATCGTACGCGTGCACAATATTTAAACGTGTATAGGTAAGTACGGAGAAGATGCTGCGCGGTATATGGCACATTCGTGTGGCATCGCTTACCCCGGAGTAAGCTAGAGAGACGTATTATTATTATTATTATTTTGAATTCGAACAAGCAATATAATAAATTATCGCGTTCGTGAAACGATCCCGTGCGCGGTTCGGTTTACCCGAAAACGGTCGGGATTCTATTTAAAACCACTGCGTCGTAAATCTCACCGTTTTTCCACTGCGATCTGCGCGAACTATTCGAAAGATAAAAAATTTAAATTTCAAAAGTACCTACTATTCGGGTGTGCGCGTTGAGTCACCAAAAAATGTTATGTTGGACTTTTCGGTCCCAGTTTTATTCGACATTAAAGTAGGCTGTTTTTAGAAGAAAACAACTAACCGTTTAATTCCTTTGATCTCCATCCGAAGAAATCGCATAAAATTTTTACGGTACACCGCGACACAAATATTGTAAATTGGGTTCGTATGTTGGAATTACGTTCAACCTATGCATTTTTAACTGTAACAAAATAAAAGCTGTGTGAATTTTTTTAAACTTTAAGAAATCTTGGAATTTACAAGAAAATGGTATTATAAACTATCCGTATATTTATTACAAATGATATATTTTGTGCATAAATTAATGTTAAATTTAATTAATTTTTACTCGGAACAGTTGTATTTGGAAACTTAAAACTTCGGCCATTTTTATTAATTTTTTTATTAATAAATTATTTTTTACAAACCAAACGAACATAAGAACAGTAAATATTGTACAGTGCGCAATGAATATGCTTGATAACTGTTTTAATTTTGGGTATTTTAAGTCTTCCATAAATTTAACGAAAACGTATCTATTTAGTGTATTTATTTTAATTTTTTTTTTTAATGTGAAATGTTTGGCAATTTTAAAATCAAATGTATCGTAAAATCTTAACACTACATCTTTCTTTTTCAAATAAATTAATAAACCAACAAATAAATCGTACGCGATTCCGAAGTAACGTTTGTCCATTTAAAACACGATTTTTTTCAGAGTTATAATAAATTATTTTTTCGTTTCGTTGTACGCATTTATCCGTCGTATATATTTGTCAATGTTTCTTAAGACTACCCCGAAATCAAAAATAAAAAAATTATTGTTTTCCTACAATAATCCACCTTTGTCGCTTAATAAAATATCTTTACACAACAAATATGTATTTCAATTGACAGTCGGTTATGTTTATAACAATCCGATTAGGAATACACACTAATCACTGTACGGTTCGTATCAAGCAGAGGCGTACGGATCCAGTAGGTGGGGCAGTCCGTCCGTTAAACATCAGGTGGACTTGAGTTTGCGACGCCTTCGAGCCCACGAATTCTTGGGCACGTTAAACGATCTCCTTGTCGCGTACGTCCCGAACACTGTCGACTGGCTTGATGACGAATTAGAGTCATTCTCACCATGCGAACCCTGTTGATCCTCATATTTTGAATCAGCTCTGAAAACACACAACATCGCTATCAAACAATGATTCGGATACGTATTTCTTTATGGTTTATTTTTCCTTCTAAATTTGATAAAAATTGATAAAAGCATTCGTATTGCGTTGAAAATATTATTTTCCCTCGTCGTACATTCACGTATAATAATTAAGCGATTCTCACACGGGTAGAAAATGTGTACTGCATGTTTTATAGGTGCGTTCATCATTTGAAAAAGTCGACGTGAAAAAAGTGTCAACAGAAATCTAATACATTTTACATAGATACGGTGTAATAATTTTCCTACAGTTCCTATAAAATAGACATATTCTTAAAAAAAAAAATTTAAATATAACTTAGGCTTTTTATAATTTTTTTTTTTTTTTTTTTTTTTTTATTCTAAAATGTTGTAATGTTGTATTGTATGTATGCTAAAACTTTTTTGTACACATAAATATTGGTAAACATTGAAATTATTCTAATAATAATCCCAGGTATAAAGAACATAAATTAAGAAAATTATAAGTATTACACTCAATTAAATTTAAAGGTATCATTTTTATTGAAAATTAATGATTTAATAGTTTACAATTATTTAATAAACTAGAATAATTATTGATTTTATAATGATGTATTATTGTAATGTAAAAATTGATATTTCTGAATAATATCTATAATATTTTCACATGAAGTATTGTTCAATTATGAATTAAAACGGAATTTTATTTTTAACTCATCGCTAAAATTGACATTTTAAATGAGTTGTTATAATTAAGTTAATACATTTAACTTTGAAGCGGTTGTCACCAAAATTGTTTGAAAGTAATTTCTGTTGATTTTAGCGATTTATTCTAATTTTATAATGAATATAATGGAGTTTTTCTATAACTTTTATTAAAATTAAAATATTTTTATAAATGTTAAAATACGTTTATGAAAAACAAAAAACATTTTGTTACGGGGAATAATTTATTTATCTCAGAAGATATAAAACGATTATGAGTAACACCAGCACTGGTAAATTTTATCAACTTTAAAGTAGTGTAATTTTATTATAAATTTAAATGTGTACAATTGAAGGGCTAAAGAAAAAACCGATAATAGTCAAAAGAAGAAAAAATCTGATAATTGTATCATCTTGTCATTTATTAAAAAAAGTAAATTTAATTTTTTTTATTGATTAAAAAAAAAAAAATTAGTTATATTTCCTCAATAATTTTTTTTTAATTATTTCGAACTTAATCTTTTAGTTATTGAGTTCTAAAACTTTTAAAATGCATTACTTAACAGTTTACGAATATTGACTATTATCGTTTTTTCTCACAGCCCTTCAATTCTGTTTTATCATACCACTAGTTTTTAAGTAAATTTGGATCACGGGACTTTGCATTAATTACGAGAGCCTTACTTATAATTATTCTTAGGGATTTAGAGAAGTTCGCATATTTTTAATAATTATTTAAAACAAATCTAAGTGATATACAAATTTGTTTCATAGTACTAGGAACTTAAAAAAGCCAACATTTTTATTTTGCACATTTTGTATATTTAACTTTTTTTTTTTCTTTTTTTCCCTATAAATACATATTTTGCTATATTTGTACTTTAAATATATATTTAATTAAAAAAAAAAAAAAAATTAAAACAATACGTGACATAGGTAATAATATTTTAAAAATTACAAAAAAGAAAAAAACAAGCTATTAGCTATTTATAAAAAAAAGTAGAAAACGTACTCTCCTAAAATATTGGTTTTAAAATGATTGAAAACAATTTCTCATACTATGAATGGATTTAGTGGAAAATGTTTAAAATTTGTAAAATATTTAAAGTACTTTAAATTAACTCTAATAAAATCTGTTAATGTTGAGTGTTCGTTTTTAAGGTATAAAAATTTACTAACGAACAATTGTCGTTCATTTAAATTTAAAAATTGATAGTTACATAATGCTTTAATTTGGGTAAGATTTTACAAATTATTAAATCAAAAACACGAATAGTATGCATTTATAAATGGAATTTTGGTTTTTGTTTTGTTTAAAGAAGAAGAAACTAAAATAATAAATAATAATAATTAATAAATAAATTTATAGATTTTGGGTTTTTAATATAAAGTAAAGTATTTTAAGGAGCATATTTTAGAATTTGTACGGACATAAATGTATGCATATTTTAAGGTATTTTAGTACAGTGAGTCTCTAGCCCTACATAATAATACACGTATGAGATAATAGGATATATTTATCTGTTGTTTGTACATAGTTAAGGTAATATATGCATAGCTCAGTGATAATTACTAACTTAATTAATTGATATTATCAAAACTGAGGTTGCCATGGTTAAAAAAGAACCTAAAGTATTGAAATATTTCTAATATAATAAAAATTTTGAATGGAATAACTAAGTATAAAGAGTGGTAATTGTAATTGCATCCAGATACCAAGATAAAAACGGTCGTAAGATTCCATACACACTATTTACTCTGTAACTTTTTTTTTTATACACGCGCACTATTTTATTTGAAAAAAGAAAAAAAAATAATTAATCCGAGATTTTTGAAACACGAAACGAATTTGTGGCAAGCATAAATTGTAAGTCCTATAATTATATTTCACAATTTGGAATCGTTAGCTTTAATACAAGTATTTGAAGTTTTATTGCAGTAAAACATTTTTATTTTATTTATTAATTTTGTCATGACTATTTATATGTATGGTACTTATTGATTGCAATATGAATCATTAAATTATATTTCAACAATTATAATTTTTACTATAACGACTGATTAATAAGAGAAATCAGATGAAAAATTATTTAAGCTATTTTATATTTACTCTTCATTTTCCAGTTATTAAATTAGTTAGAAACAGTAAATCCACAATAGGGAAAATTAAATTGTAATTATTTAACGTAGTGTGGTTTCCAAATTATATTATAATTTTCTTGCTATACTTGAGATTGGTTTGGGTTGTAACAAAAGGAAAATGCGTGCGATTTCGAAACGGTAATTTGGGTAATTCGTATGGAACTGTAAAGGTAAACTAATTAATAATATTGGAAATACTTTTGTAATTATTCAATCATATAGTTGTTTTATAAATGAACCTGTTAGAATAAATTAATTTGTAAATTTATAAACAGTTTTAAATAAGCTTTGTAGAAGTCTATTTCAAACAAAATAAAAAAAAAAAAGTGAGCGGTATTGAATGATACAAAATGTTCGATTTTGAATAGCTATTCTCGTTAATTACTGAATTAGGTATCGAACTTGGATAATTATTGAGTTACATACCCAACGGAAATTATCGAGTTCCTTCACTAACCCTATTTCCAGAACAAATTGATATTACAGTAAATATTAAAAACCGGTAATTATCGTGAACTAATCAAACTAACGGTTATTACTTTAAATTTATTAAAAACAACATTCCGGTACTTAACGCCGCCCACTAATAATTGAAAATGTTTCAAACAGAAGATATATTATACAGCAATCAGTTTGAATCGCAGCTCGATAATGCCGTTCGTCATCAGTGGTAAAACTTAAACGATAGGTACGTAATAAAAAAAAAAAAAAATGTCATCTAGTCGGTGCCTATAGATAGAAGTTCCAACATTAGAGTGTCCCTTAGAGATTTTTCACAAAAACGTGTTTATTAAATTCTTATTTTCATTAAAAATCATTTGCATACGTTTGTGCGTATGTATTGATTGCGACAACAAATCGTCGAGGAATAATTAGAAATTGCTAATTCGTTGAGCGGCAAACGTCATAAAATGTGATTTGCACACGTACGGTGATAATGGTAACAATTATCTTGAGGAAGTCGAATGGCACGTTAAACGACCAAATTAATAATCACGATTAATACGGACGTGAAAATGCTGATCGATCGACTGATTGCGCTGATTATAATATACGTAATTGGTAGTAGTGAGCTTCTGAAACGCCATTGGGTTGCACAGTGCGAACACCGATGGATCTCGGTACATTTACATTTAATTACTTCAAAATTGGATTCTAAGGAACTCCGGCGTCAATGGGAAGTCGAGTTGCATATAAATTATATAGCTTACCGGTGCTCTAGATGTCTGCTTGGAATTGTGCGGTCCCGCCTGAAAACATTAGAAACCACCGCCGAGAGGTAATAAGAGCACCGGCGGTGGTACCGTAAATTTTTATTTTATAGATTCGATTTTTATATTTACTTTTAAGATTCGCGCGTGCGTGTAACTGCGAACGGAAAACTGTAGAGAAATTACGTAATTTATTGTGACCGTCAACCGTGAAATAATAGTCTTGATGTTTTTACATAATTCATCGCACGTGATTTATCGGCACCAGTTTTTGTTACGGGATTTTTTTTCATTTCAAGGGGATAACCCGAACAAAAAATTATGAACGGACTTGATTCGTACACGTGAAATGTGTTCATGTCCGAGTGTTGGCGATAAACCGTACGGTCCGTATTGTTTGACCGAAATTCACGGGTAACATATACATCAGTGTCAATTTTATGATTTTTAGGAGCACGACGTTTTATTTGCTACATTCGATACGAATATAAAATATTAAGATTTGACTATTATCGTATCATCGTGCTAATCACGGGCTGGGGAACAGTGTTTTGAAAAACCGCAATAGATAATTTTTATTTATAAACTAATGTAGATATCGGATATACACCTCTATTTTTTATTTTAATTATTATCCATCCAGATCAAAATAATATATATATTTTTTTTTTATCAAAAATGTATTAGGTTTTGGGTAAAATAATGTTAGAACTATTTGTCTAGATAATCATTTAAAAAAAAAAAAATAGATTCGATAATTGAATGTGATGGCAGACAATTGCGCTATTTGGTGCATACGCTTTCGTAATTTACGGTATGACCATGGTTTTCGTTAGTACACGCGTTGAATGAACGTATCGATTTCCGTCAATTACACCAGAAAGGACGACTAAATATATGAAATGCATGTTTTTAAATCAAACCATCTACAATAGAGGACGAAAATCTAAAATTATTCGAGTACCGAATCGAAAAGGGAGATGGGAAGAGGGGAAGTTTAAACCGTTAATTTTCCTTTGATCCCGTCAATCTACAATCCTCCAGTCGCTGCGTCCAACCGCAACGTTACGTGCCTATATACACCTCAAAACCGGTCGAAAGATTGCAGTGGAAGGGTGGCACATAGTTTTACGCGATATTACATATCACATGTGCGATTATCAAGACCAGGTGCGTAATTTCAGTATTTTTTTAAGGGTGTGCAAACAATTCTAGATGCTAATATTTTCCCACCACAAATCGTTAAAAAAGCGTCTTTTGTATTTTCACTATAGAATTTTTCTATCTATAACATGTTTTCCGTGCATAGCACGTTGTCTACCGCGGAAGAAACGTTCTCTCCAACGTTGAAAAAACTATTTGCCATTACGCAATTATAATATTAAATTTATTCGGGATAAACGAAAATTGTTTATAAAGACGTGTTTCATTGTTTCAGAAATCGGAACAGACTTACAACGAGAAAACGGTTGAAGTCGGCGAAAAGTTTTTTCGGGTCGCGTGCACGTTCACTTTCATGCTGACACGATAGTCACCGTCGGACCGGTCGAAGGTCCGATCCGAGCCGGAAAAACACGTCATTCGCTCCGTTTCGGGGGGGGGGGGGGGGGGTGACGAGCCTGTGAGACCTTTTCACGATTCGCGTCACGTAACCATCGGTGACATTATACTCGTATTTGCATCGTTCTCCGAGCCTACACGCGATATTATGTTTTTCAATCCCGTTATGTGCGATAAGATTTTTTTTTACGAACATCGATGGTTGTAACTTGTAACGTGCCCGCAGCGTAAATGAATTATTCAGCATTGACCGCACACCACAATAAATTAGTAACTCGGTCGAAACTCGGATATTTTTATGCTGCGTATTGCGAACACGTATAACACCCGGTCGTTTTCTTATTATTGTTATCGTGATAATAATAGTACCGTATTCAATGAGATACTGTGATCTGGATTCGATCGTACGCCATACAGCGTTTATCAAGCATAAACTTGTAATAGTAATCACAGCAATCGTAGAAGTGTCATCTAATAGCAAAATATTATAGTGTTTAACGTCATACAAGTCTCGGTCGGTAATTCGTTCGCTATTTATGTTACGATTCACTTGAAATGGATGACCGTCAACGTTTTCCTCTTTTAGTTAGAACTCGAACGTTATTCGGGGGTATAAATATTCTATTGCGCTTTTGAAACTCATGGCGGTAAAGCCCGTTATAAAAACTATTCTGGATTTATCAAAATATTTTTTCTCCTCCGAATCCCACCAGCTTTTCAATCGTGTTTCGTTATTTATTTTACGCGAGTATTATGTACCGTTTACATAATATATTTTAAACAAAAAGATAAGCCGAAATGGTCAACTATTAAAATATAAATAGTTCCATAATTTAGTTTTCTACCAATTTACGAATAATTATTTTATCAAATATACTTATAAAAATGTATTATTACTTATATTATATAATAAATTTAAATGAATATTTACGAATTTCTTAAAATAATAAATTAAAAATTACAGGAGTTAAGTAAAATGTTTTGATTTTGTTGGCAATAGTGGTATGATATAATTTTAACTCTTTATAAAAATTGTCTATTTGCAAGATGTGTTGTTATAATGTATACCTAACCTAAATCAGAAGTAGACAAAATATGCTCTTTTACCGAAAGGAAACTTTTGAAACTGTTTAGAAATAAAATAATCTACTCTTTAAAGTTGTATATTTCAATAAAAATAAAATTTTTTTCTTTAATTCTTTATACTTTAGTCATTTATTGTGGGCTAGGTTTTTTGAAAATATGTATATGTTTGAAATTTTTAAATTTAGTACATTGTTAGAGCGGTTTGAATAAATAATATATCAACATAATAAAATAAAAAACTTATAGGTTTGGGTGGACTGAATTCTAGTTAACTGTAAAAATATTTACATTGAATGATATTTGACGATTCGTATTTGTTCCTCCAATTCGGTGATTTTTTCATTGAGCTTGACGTTTTGATTGTAATATTCGGTCACGAGATTTGACAACCGTGATGTTACATCTTTCATCGTGCTATCTGAAAACATAAGACAATGCCGTGATCCAGATCATTAGAGCAGGCGAAAACGGTAACTATTGTTGTTACTCTATTGTTGCACTTATATAAATAAATGTTAAATTAGCGTTATAATGGTATTAATATATTATGTGTTATGCAACATTAGTCTGGTCTGTTATACATATATATTACTTATTTGCAGTAGTTAAATTCCGCAGTATTAGTGGAATGCGTTTATTATGATATTCGCGTACACAGGTATGAATTTCAGGGACGGCGGACTTTGTTTTTGATTCGAAGTCAAACGACACTATCCGTATTTGGTTTAAATAACAGACTTGACATTGAGTTTGTACGAATGCGCTAAACAACCAATTGCGTTTATATACAATAGGTTTACGGTAAAAACCGGAAATTCTCGACGGATCGAGTACTGTGGTCCCTTTGAAATTATATTAAACCCTATGATGTAAAATTTCGATCATTCGAATATCGTTTTTAATTAAATGCCCGTATTGCTCGAGTCGTATATTGCTACGGCTCGATTTTATTATACGACGACTATGTTATTTTATCGCGATAAAATAATATGTCAAGGAGGAGCGATCCCGTTCCAATGATTTTGTTGGCTACTGCAGCCCGCACTTAAATAGAATTAACAATTTACAATCAAAATGTCCACTATGAACCCTCCCCCCTAACAGTGTTGCCCACGTACCATAAGTCTGCCATCCCTGACGCATGCGGTGGTGTAAAGGTTCTCAATATGACCAATAATATTAATATTATAGTATATATATACAGTGATGTTCCGATCAATTTTGTTGAGAGTGTACTACGCAGACGAATTTTTGAATATGAATATTTTTATAATTTAAATGGTGATAATGATTGTGAAATAGGGTAATAAATATTAACAAAAACTTGAAATTTTTATTTTTTACAGAAATATAATTTAATATTATTTAAATAAATTGATATCATTGTAAATTCATTCTATGCTGTCATTAATAACTTCATAGTAATACATTAATCGTCTGAGTGTAATCTGAATATCTATTATAAAATAAGATTAAAACTAAACTCGAAAAAACTAATTACATTTAATACTTCTTCATGAAGAGCTTGAGATCCGAGAGTATATGCAATATACCCGTGAATTTTCTGTTGAAAGTATACGGCATATATGTAGTGTACCCTATGGGAACAACACTGCATGTGTATTTATATCATTGTCATTGCATTTCGTTTTAATAACATTTAACAACAACCGTAATAGTAGGCGATGGGTATGAAATGTTAAATCGAAAGCTCGCGACATAGTTACGTACAATACGTGCATTATGTTTGAGGTCAGTGCGTGTTTTTACCTATTATTCTACTGTTCTATTCAAATTTTGATTACATTTTGTGAAATTAATTATTTTCGAAAACATTACGGAAACGAGGGACGGCTGAGCGTCAAACGCGGTCCGACCCAGCATCATTACTGTTCTCCAGTAATGTTATTTATGTCCTTTTCCATTTATCAATTTCTTACTATCCCTACACTAATGCACAACGTCTTGTCCCGTTTCTCGACTGGAGCTGTCGTGAGAAATTGCGGGCGAACTCGGTATATGCATAATGATACAATTGTCATTACTACGTACAGTCTATTGGGCACAAGCAAGCGAGCCGTAAACGGAAATAATAATTAAAACTAGCTTATTGTTCAATCTTTCCAAGTGTTCGAACCCATAGTTTTTTTTTTTTTTTTTTTTTTTTAAAACTGACTTATCAAACGTTAATTTATTCAAAAATATTTATATAATTCTCATCGTTATTTGTTCGAAGCATACATTTATGCTCTTTTTTGTCGATGAAACGCTTTCATTGTTTCAATCGATAAAAATATTTTGTGTAATTAGCACTTTAAAATGGTTTCCTGTATGAAAAATCACTAGAAAAAAACGCGAAAAGATGGCGAAATTGACAACATTTCCATAAAACTGATTTCACAGTTTCAAAGTTCAACAAGTATTAACCTATAATATTTTTAAAAGTTGAACAAAGTTCTAGCAATATGTCATATTACATACATAATAATAATAAAAATAATAATAATAAAAAATCTATATATAGAATATGAAATTTTAAAACTTTAACAATATATACTTCGATTAAGCAGGTAAATTTCATTGACGTTTGTTCACCACCTATCTAACCATAAATATGTAATAATTAGTTATTTTACGAGTAGCAATTTACTGAGTTATGCTACAGCAAATTGAATTGTATTCAACATTTTACCTAGAGTTCTGTTTTGATTAATAATCATTAGCTCGACGGATATCTTTGTATCTTTGTATTGTCAGTAAATTCTCCACGCTCAGAAGAAGAAAGACCACGTTTCTTACACATGACACTACATAAATGGATTTTCGGTCACCAGTTAGGAACTCGAATCACGCGCGTCAAAGGGCACATTCGCGTTGTCGGTGTTCGCTCGACCAGGGTCTGTGATATTATTATGTTAAACACCACCACAATAACCTTCACCCAGATATCACGCGAGTGAGCGGACGTTCATGCTGCTGCTGCTGTTGCTACAGACGACGACGTACAAACTTGCGTGAACTGTTTCTTATTCGGTTTGATTAGGTTCGCTGATAATTTCGATTTGCGCTTCGGCTGCTTCCAGTTCGGCGAAGGTGCAGTTGGCGGTCGCAAATTTCGTTCGTCCCTGTCGTTGGCTAATCTAATATATCCTTCTACCCCTCGGTTCGGCAACACCATGTGGCTATAGTCTACATACACACAGACATGGACAACCATACACACGCACACGTTTTGGGCACGTGGGTACGGAAACCGTATGTTATTACGTACAGGGCCGATGTTATGGTGAGGAGGTTATGTACCCCCGCCTATGAATGACCTATTTATATGGTCGATGATAATCAACACACTAAGCAATACTGGTATTGTAGAATTTCGTTTTAGAAAGTATTGGGCAAATTTATATATTTATAACCCACTCCTTCCCATCAATATTTGCTTACGCCGCGGTTAAGTCGCGATGGACCTGATTATAGGAAACTGTTATGCCGATGAAGATAAGATGTTCATCAAAATCATGTCTCGGACGCATTTTTGGTAACGCACAAATCGATCGTCTTGTACGGAAATGTAACGATATCGTGTTTATCCGGATTGAAATCCGCGGAAAACAATTTGGCTTAGGCAAAATTCAAAACATTATTTTCAATTGCATTTTAAACATAATAATATCGTTACAGTAATAGTACCATTGCAGTAAAAACATTTTTAAGCAATATAGGTTAAAGGGAAAAAGAACAAATGCTCGTTCATATTTACTTATTGTTACATAGTTAAGTAAATGTTTAAGAGTCCTCTACAATTGAAAATATTTAGTTGTAGCTATGTTTTATTTTATACACGAAAGTTATTGTTTTCGTTGATATGAATGGTTTTATGAAGGAGAACGTTATGTGTTTTTATTAATAACTATAGTAATATGCTTATACATACCTAATCTAGATACAGCTTCATTGATGGTTTCATTTTGCGTTTGAGCTTGCATAAACGCGTCCTCGTCTAAAAGCCTATCTTTTCGTAGTAGCTGACATCCACGTTGCATTAGACTGTGCCTAGCTTCGGGATAGTCTCTCAATGTTTCCCACAGATCTCTTTTGGATAGACAAAAAAGATCGGAGTACCCTAAACTCCGGACATTGGCCGTGCGACGATTGCCAGTTTTGTTACCGGCTATTTCTAGTACGCTAACCTAGGAAATGTATAACAAAAATAATAATAGTACCTAATAAAATGTAACAATATTATTATTTAAAATTTGAATGTGAAATAAAAATAGCATTTTTATGTCATGTGATTTTCTAAAAAAATTTATTAGTGGGTAATTTTAAATTACACATACGTTCAATTATATCAAAATAATATTAGATACAGTTAAAATAATTTAACCATTTATCGTGTATTTAATATTTCACTAATAGTAAAATGATTTGAGTAATCTTCAATACTCTGAATTCTAACCTTAAAAATTGTGTTTATCTATTACCAAAGTATGTCTTAAACGATAAAAAAGATACAACCTGTTCTTCAAATAATTTAGTTGTTATCTAATTTATATTTTCATATTGTCATAGTACAATTTTTAATGGTGATTTGATATGACTGTATAACACATAATTGTAAACCCTGATAACCTTTTTTATATTAATAATAGAAGTTATTATTTCTTCTTTTTTAAGTTGCTTAATACTTTACTGCTGACCTGATACAGTCTTATACTACAAGATTGTTATTTTATACACTGAATATTAATTCAATGTTGTTTAAATTTCGAAAAAATATTTAAAAAAAATAAAATAGGTTAGATAGAATTTGATGAAAACGAAATTAAAGTTAATACAGGTATTTTTATTAAAAGGAAAATAACATAAAAAAAAAAAAATGTTTTCTTTTATTTAACCCATAGTGACATTTAAGCATCAGAAGTCACATCATGAAAAGACTTATTTTTTGACAGAAGCTGTTTTACTCTACACGTATTGTTATTATACTTAAGATACTCTTAAATAATATGATATTTTAAAGAATATTTTATCAAATGAGTTAATATAAATTTATTAATTATTTAATTGTAAGTTACGCGAAATGTTCGTGTGCGTGTTTTGTGTAACATGGAACATAATAAAATGATTGGTATTATATTTGTTTTACTAAATATTATATTATATTTAAACTGTCTATTAATTTATTTTATTTTGTCATTTTGGTGTGATTTAAGTATATATTATTAAAAATGTAAAAACTTTAAAGATAATAATATTTTATACGAAAGTTATTTCATTTTTATATAACTTGAAAGTATAATCCAGTATACAAGTACTTAAAAACCAGTAAGTTTCTCTCCGAGAAACGAGATATCATATTCAAACTGTGCAAAATTTATATTTTCATGATCTATCAAACATGAGTTTCGGAATTCAAAATTAAGTACCTACTGTCCATTTGGATTTATTCATTATACAAACATTTAGAGTTATATAACCTCTTATCTTACATTTAAAATGATTATAGTTTTATCAGTTTTATGGCATATTAGGGTATCAATGCCATTTGAATTTCTTGGTATCACCAATTTGCCTAATCAAAATCTAAAAAAACGTTTGACTTTAAATTTTGATGCAATGGTTGTTAATATACGTTATAAATATTATAATACATTATATATAATAAATAATTAATTATTTAAAACCGGCGTTCCCTAAAACCAAGCACGTAATGTATTTTCAGTACGCCCTTTAATAATATTTATATAAAAAGGTTTATTTTATACATCTTGCCATAAAAATATGTCATGTTTATGCGTGCATTAGAGTTCTGGATGTTGCTAGTTTTGTAAAACACATCTTGCGTTAGTTACAAATACTACGGTAATGTGTTTTTTTAGGAAAAAATTAATAGTTTAATCAATCAAATAGCCAAAAATAACGTCAAATATAAAACATAAATAATGAATCTTATTTTATTTTTATCTACTTAATTTCGTATTTTTTATATTTTATATTTTGTATTTCAAAGGCACGTTGATGTGGAACTAAGGTGAAATTCAAAGAGGGGTTTTGTTTAATTGGTAGCATTTGTATTATTTCTAATTTAGCCATCTGTGCACGTATATAAACTACATATACTCATAGAAACAAACACATATTAATATATCTTTCACTGTGTTGATTTTCAAAGCAATATCTCGAATGTCTCTGAAATATAGATTTTCCATAAAATTGTTCTAGAAAAATCATATAATGGATTCGAAATCTAGTTTAAGCTATAAAATTAAATTATGGTGCATATTTAATTAATATTAGAATATTGAAAAGACTACGAATGAAATAATACATTTGTGTTTTTTTTTTTTTTTAATTATTTTGATTTAACCTTTTAGATTTTAGCAATAATGTTTATTGCTGAAATATTAGATCCGACAAATAAGAACATAATAAATGATCGGAGTCGAAACATTTTTTACCTTAAAAAAAAAATCATATGTATACAATGCAGATAAGAGAATAATGATTGTTGATATTAAAAATATATTAATACTAAAGTTAACATTTTTATAAATTAAATTTATAGGTGTATAATTTTTTTAATTAAATTGTAGTTTTTATGATATTTATTGTTTTTGTTAGAATTTAATATTAGTTAAAATAGCTTTTACTCTACTCAATGCAATTTTGTTCTTTGATAATTATAGATTATAAAAACAATTAAGAGATTGATTGAAATGATATTACTCTTAATATACTATAGTTTCTCGATCATGTCAATTTTGAATGGTATATGAGAATATTAGAATAATCGTGTCTTGAATTTAATGAGTTGTATTGAGTGCTTTGAACATTTTTTACTCTCCCGAAAGATAAAAAACCAATTTCTGACAAGTGTTCAATATTATACTATCTCACATAGTTCCACATTTTCTAAGTCACTTAAAAATCATTTAGTTATGATTACTTTATACATTTTGTTGGTTACACATTTTCAATAAATTTAGATTTTACGGCCATATAATTATATAATTATTATATTTGCTTTACTAGTACAGTTTGAATGAAGACATAATTTATTAAAATATATTATATAAACTACTATCATCGCCCAAAATCAATACCATATTGCAGGCTAACAGTTTTAAAAATTAACCAGTAACCCGCAACATATTATGTAACATGGTTTCACAACGTTGTTCGTACATTAGACAGTGACAACTATTAAATTACATCGAGACAATATTCTATTAAGTGTTCAATTTGATAATAATTAATTCAAAATAAATTTGTGTTAAGAAATGTAACGTCTACGAAAATTTGATGTACGTTAAGTTATCAATTATTAAAATGGAAATTAATGAAAAATTTAATGGGAATTTCATTGATTAGTAAGTTAGATTTGCGATTGAATATTTAAAGATCCAGACGATAGTATAACGCAGCGCGTGAAAAATAAGTATTTATACGAATATATGTATTAAAAAAAAACACCAAAAAACACATCATCCAAGTATAATTTATAACTGACCTCTCCGAAGACACTTCCGGCGCTTAAAGTGGCAATTTCGGTTTTTTGGTCGTCTGCGACTACGCTAAGAATGCCTCTCTTCACTATGTACATTTCTTTTCCGACGTCTCCTTTACGGCATATGTAGTCTCCAGGACTGAACACCTAAATGACCGATAAACGTTGTGAGTTATATTATTATCAGATATTACGAAACAGAATTGTGCAATTTCTATTGTTTACTCACCTGAAGTCTGAGCTTGAGCACGAGTTCTTCCAACAGACCGGGTTCGCAGTCCTGGAATATTTCGACCTTTTTTAATGTGTCGAGGTGTACGTGTATAGCAATCTCAGCTTTTAATTTATCTGGTAAAGCTGCTAATACACGTTCTTCATCAAGCGCCTATTGTTAAAAAAATGTACCATTATTAATTTTATATGATTGCGTTTCGGAAAAGGACGTGAACACGTGTTCTAATAGTTTCAGAAATTTTGCCGTTATTTATTTATCATATTAGTGAGGAAAATAAATTATATACTCGTATAGGAATCAAATTAAATACTGTTCTTTATTTTATGTCCATTCTTAGTCAATAAATATAATTTAAATCAATCTTATTTAGTGTCATATATTTTTGTTACATTTATATAAATATTTATAAATTTTTTGTTCAATGAAATGTATTTCAATATAAAGATTTATGATTTTAAAATTATTAAAAAAATAATATTTCATAAATTGACTCTCTTATAATTTTACGGTATAGTTTTATACAAAATGAATGTTTAAAGTATATGTAAACTTTTTTATGTTGATATTAAATTATTTAAACGGAAATATTTAGTTATTTAAAATTAAAATATTAAATTGAAATTTTTTTTTAATAGAAATATTTTCTTGTACTTCATTTTAAGGATAATTCTTCTCATTAAAATTCTTCTTTATCAAATTTTTTTTCCCTATAAGAACACCATTCATTTTAATGTAAATAATCATTAAGTTCATTATTTTGGAATTTTTTACTGAACATAGTCAACACGTTGATCGAAACTTCAAGAATATTTCAAATTTAAAATTTTGGATGAAAATTGTAAAGTAATTAGGATGTACTAAATTGTTACTTAAAAAATTCCAGAATTAATTTAATATTTATCTAAATAAAGATAAAATGTTTTTTTTATTATTTGAATACTAAAGTTAATAATACTACATGATACTCATTAAAAAGTTTATATAAACTATGCACTGGGAAATATAATATTTTAGTTTTTGTACATTTTCAAAAATATTAGAATTAGACAAGATGCATAATATAACCATAACGAAAAGGCGGGAATATAAAAATCTGGTATATATTATGAAATATTTTATAAAAAAAAAATTGTAATTTAAAAATTCGTTTTATTCACTTTTTATTGATATCTATAAGTATTCTATTTATTCATGTACATAAAATATTATTAAACACAAAATCAGTTTGGATACATTCAGGCGTTATCTGAAACAGTTTTTGCGATTTAAGTTTATATCGGGGTCATGTTAAATATGACACAACATATTTTTTAATTTTGTCCTATTTATGTGTAATCTACCACGCTGTCTAAACTTTAGACGTAAGTCAACATATTCAGTTACGTACTATTTTGCGGAAAAGTACAGTTTTGGTTTCGTGACGGTCAATATTGATGGCCGTTTTAAAACTGTAAGAAAGACTCGTTTTTGAGTTATAATTACGAGTATTTTGAGGTGCTCAATAACTCTGATGTAGTTACTTTTACTTAGACTCGAATACGATAGTAATATTATAAACATATAGTATACACATTGTTAACCATAGGAATGCAAATACAATCAAATGATATATTGACATTGTATAATTATTTGCCCAGTGATTGCAAATCTAAATATGTTATTCAACTCCGAAAAACAGTAACATATTCGTATAACATAATATTGTACGATTATACAACATCAACATTAACGTATTGCTCTTATGGCAGTAATGATTGTACGAGACTATTTTAAATGTATTATTTTGTACGTATCGAAGATACTGGATCTGTTTACAGAATATTTTTAACCACAATTTACTGTCCTACGTTATCTATTTCTGCGATAGTACTGATATTCAAATATCATTATTTCGGTTTAGAAAAAAAGTGGGATTAATTAAAAAAAATATATATATATTATAAGTTTTCGAGTATTTAAACGTCATACAATATCAACAATTTCAGTGTTAAACGTTTTTGGATTTTTTCCATTTTACGTTACAATATTTTAGAGTGTTATTTAAATTTTTTTATTTATAAGAGGATATTGAAGAAAGACCTAGTATCGAAAATTAAACTTCGATTAGAAGTATTTTGTTGTTATTGTTTTTATTTATAGAAAATTATTATAGTTAAAAATGTCTACACAATATTATTGTCTCCTACACAGTTGTGTATTATTTTTGCCTACATATAACGCCGTCTCGACAATTTTATCGCACATAATATGGTATTCAAAATGTTAACGGTTTAAAGTACATTGAGTAATTTCATTATATATCATAATACAGTATACATCGAAACAAGACAGATTTTATAATTTTTTAGGTTTTAAGTAAAGCGAAGTGTATTAGTTTTGCAATGATAGTTTTTGTTTTCTGTAAATACTTTTCTGAGTGGTAAACCTGCATTATTAATCTTGTATGATATCTCATTTGGATTGGAAATTGATTTTTGAAGATGTTATTTGGACCATTTATTATTTATTTATCGATTACTATATTGGTTCCTCTCGATAAAAATCAATGAGTAAAAGTAATATTTTCTAGGAAAGTGTGTATAATGAGTGTATTATGATTGATGAGTCATCAATGATAACAAATAGAGAAAAATATTCAACTAATAATAGTGATGTTTGATTATAGTTAACAACGAATCTCAACTTATTTCTCTGAGTTATTGGTAATCATTTGATTTTAGATGATAATTTAATGATTTCATGATTTATCTAGATAATGCGTAACACTGTATCATACAATGTTCTACTATGTTTTATTTTAGGTCATGATTGAAAACTATTATATTATTTTTATGGGTTAAAGCCCAAATGGAAAGTTTATATCGTCAGAGTTTATATGTTGTATTTAACTTAATAACAATAATGATGGATAAGAAAAATGAATTTATATAGTTCCCTTGGTGATTATATTGGTATCGTTTAATTTTAAACGGAGTGGTTGATTATTACATAATTATAATACGCTGAAAAGCTCTTTATAAAGATACTTTGTATATAAATACTTTTGAAGTTGTATAGAAATCAAATGAATAATTTTATGAAATACAAACACTTTACCCAAGGGTCTTTCTGGCTTTATAAATTGATTTTATAAAACGTTGTAGAACCTTTACCTTTTTCTTCGCTATTATACAGATCTTGTTATTCTATAACCTCTAAAACTCACCGGTTGATGATAATAGAAGTAATTTTTTTTTAACGGCCATTAACGTTAGTAATAATACATAAATTATTTTTGAAAAGTATGGCGTGTAAAAATATTATTTTTCGTCCGGAGTACCTTAAGTAATTCGATTGTTTTGCTTCATAAATCATAACGATATGTTTAAGCGTATTTAATTCCTGACAAACTGGAAGGCAACATGATTGATGCATACGAATATAACATGGCCACCTGCACCTGATTATATAATACGCGTGAATGTTTAACAGATTTTTGGAAAAAACCCGAATTCTGTATGAGAATCTGTTGCAGTAAATCGAACGTTTTTCCTGCGCTTCTGCGTATGTGATTCTTATAAAAATAATTATAATTAGTGATTGAAAATGGTAGTGGTGGCGGCGGCGGTGGCGGTGATTACAGTAGTGTACGAACGATAGAGGCTTATTTGAAGTGAACGGAAAACGTAAAAATAACAATTAAAAATGTAATAACTATGGTACCCTACGTGACTTGAAAACGCGTGTCCATGGCATATCGTATTGTGTTATTCGTATTCGTATGCTGCATAATAAACGGTGACGAATAAAACGAGTACGGCGGAATGATAATGTATCACGCGAGCGTCAGCAAAAAATCAAACTGGCCTGTGTACGATTTTTCGTTGTCTACAGGTTTTATGTAAAACACTGGATAACTAACATACCATTATGGTTTGATACAATGCTCGCGCTGACGACCGTGACGATGACCAAGTCAACGTCGTAGTTTGTTATCAGTTGAAAATCGTCATCTACTGAACGTTAAACGGTTTACATTTACTAAACATTAAATGTTCTCCAGTCCGATATTTTAGCACGTCGGCTTCAAACAACGATTGCGGTTAGTCGCATACGGTTTTCGATAACTGTGGCGTGGTGTTCTACAGGTCCAGCCGCTTCGTGATCCTACGGACTGCAGTTTTTGAGACGATTTTGAGACTACATCAGATCATTACGAACGTGTTTCCAGTTACTATTTTATCTTATTAGCCTGCCCCGTAGTTACGATCACGAACGTTATATCGAAATTTTCGATTTCATTTCGGTACCCCACGCCTGACCATGAATGATATATTTTTAATTTTTAATTTTTTTTTTTTTAAATAAATTGTGCTTAATAACATATATTATTACGATATACGATGAGAATTTATTGACTTTACTTTATTTTCTTTCTTTTTTTTTTCGTTCGCTTGGTAAAACGTTTTCGGGTTTTTTTTTCAGTCATAAAAAAATGCTCAATTGAACCGAAATGGACGTTAGGGAAAGGTTATAGTAACCACACATGTATTACTAACCATGGCTTTTGGAGAGGAATAACGTCTGCGGGTGTGAATATTTTCGACCGTTACTGCAGATGACGTAATTTTTACAATCGTCCGCCGTAAGAACGAGATAATTAATTATAATTATGTAAACGATGAAACATTACGAAAAGGTTTACGCGCTGCGAATGTATCATATGCACGTATATGAGTGGGAAATTAATAAAATAAACGAGCTGGTCGACACCACGTTGCCTAGACGTCATCGTAGTGTGCATCATAATACACACTATGCAGTCATTGTTAATAGTGAGAATTTAAAATTTCGGAAATATTAATGTAATTATGGTGAAACCTTTTGGTTTACAGGGTGCATCACTGTGTATGTATGTGTCCTGATAGTAAAATATGTTTATATACCTTATGAAATTTTTTTAAACCTGATTTTTGTAAACAATTATTACAAAAAAGGTCAAATTTTACAACGCAACAAACTATTACACCATTTGTTTAAGATAATTGTAATGAATTTTTTTCTATTTCAATTTTATTATTTCATGAATTTGTACTCAGTCGATGCATTTGATTTATTACCAAAAAAAAAAGAAAGAAACTGATATGGATTTCTATCTAGCCGTATACTCA